GAAACAGAAAATCTGCCTGTTCTCTAAGAAAAACAACTTTAAGAAGTTACTAAAATAATGTGTTCTCCTTCTTAAAAGGATTTGTATAGATCCTTGAGAAAGCTGTCTCTGGAATTGGTGCCCTGGCACACTGCAGATCTACAGGATAAGAGAGAATCCATACGAGTTGAAGACCTTCAGTTCATAGTAGATGCAATTTTGGAAGAAACAGAAAATAAGGAAAAGGTAATTCTTACCAGGGGTTTACAATACAAGTTGCTGTGGAATTCTTAAACGCCTTCTTCACAGGGTGATTAGCTTTGCACATTTGAAAGCCTTGGGAGGTTTAAGAAAGAGCTGTTTGAAGACATTCCATAGTCAAAGACTGTTTTAACATACTGGATAAATTCACCTTGGGGAAGACTGCTTTAATCAGTCATTTGACCAATGATGAATTTGCATTGCCCTCTAGTAGTCTTGAGTATCATCCTGTTCAGTCTTTTTCCCAGTCAGCATTGAGAACACACAAATGTACTTACTAAGCATCAGAGGAGAAAGCTTTCAAAGAGTATTTTTCAGTTTGCTGGATATTTGTGTCTGAAAACTCTCTTTAAAATACATCTTCAGATTTAAGAATACTTTGAATGCTGTGACTTACTATGGGAAGTTACATCCCTTTTTCTTCATAGACTGGTTTTAAGAATGTTTAGATTTAAAACCTTTGATTTGTTAAGCAATAATGTTGATGAGTTTTTACTCTGTTTTGCTACAGAACAGCCAGGCACCATCCTCACCATCCCTGTTTGCAATGGTCTCTCACTTCCAGAAGTTGTTTGATGTGAACTCTTTGAATGGTGTTTATCCACGAATGAATGAGGTTTACACAAAGCTTGGGGAGATGACCAATGCTATGAGGAATCTCCATGAGGTCCTGGAACTAGGTAAAGAGCATTTCCAAAGGAAGAAGAAAAAAATATGCTGAGCTGCTGAGAAATGAGTAAACTAGGTATATTCTTCACTGGGAAGATAAAAGTAGGTTGCTGTCTATTGGGAGTTTAAAAAGCAAAACCCCATTATTTGTGGTTTAAATAGCAAAACCCCGTTAGCAGTTGCTGAGGAATACCAGGAAGGCAGAAGAAAGAAAGAACAAATTAATTATTTTTTTTAATTATTATTTTTTTGCAAAGCTTTGTTTTCTGTCAACTGACTTGTAATTCTTCTTGCCCATCTTTCACTCTCTAGCATAAAGACAAGTTTAGGAAAAAATAACTCAACCTTTACTCTGTATTTCTGCTCAGTAATTCATTCAACTACAATTATGCCCAGTCATCAGAAACTTCCTTCTTATGCTGCTAAACTTAAGTTGTTGTTGACTGTCAAAAACTTAAGTGCCCGGTGGCACAATTAGTTAATATCCAGTAGCTGTTCTCTTCTGGTTTGTACTTCTGGACAACAGCAGCTGCTGCTGCTCTTGGGTTTAAAGATTTGGCTGTGCTGTAGGGTACACAGGCTGAGAGCAAGGGCCCAGGACTGCCAAGGTCCCCTGAGCCTCAGGAGGAGGGAAGCAGTCCCTTCCTGGAGAGGGAAGTAGTGTCTGCAGCCAGCACAGGAGATGAGGAAGCCTTGACTTGCCCTCATGATCACAAACCAAAGGAGCTTGGAAGATGCCTTCTCCAGACCTAGTGCTTCTGAAGCTGAAGGAGAAAAGGGCAGGGAGCCTGTTACCTGCAGTCACAGCAGTCAAGGCAGAACAAGTTCTGGCTGTTAATAAAGAATTTCTTGGCCTAGCCCCTGAGTTACAGGAACCTAATGAATACCCCTCTCTCTATAATTACAGTTGGCTGATTTCCACTGACATTGTACTATGCACTTCAGTACCATCTCTGCTGTGAAAATTCACAGCTCTGACGTTCCTTAGCTCTAAAGGGTTAGTGATTCACCATTCTTAGTGAAAATTAGTGCATTTCTGATCATACTTACTTTGGTTTTGTGAATGATGGAACTTGTCTGCATAGACATGTGAAAACCAAGTAAAATTTGGGCACCTGCAAGAACTGGATTGTGTCTTAAGCACTTGCCTGCTATTACTGTTATAAGAAACATGAAGTTCGTTTTTCCACAGACAGTTCAGCTCCACCCACTGTGGTAGTGGATACTGTTGGGAAACTGTGTGACATAATTAATGAGAATGTGACTGAGCAGGTACAGCAGCTTCTGGGAACCCGAGACATCCACAGGTGAGGCTGTTCCACTGGTGACCATTCTTCAAACATGAAATTGAGTAATTGAAAGAACTGGTTAAAACTGATACTGAAATAAACTAATTTGTTACAATGCTGTGACAGCAAAGGAGTTACTACTATCCTGCTACTGTCCTACATGAAAAAAATCTTGGAATAGTTTCAAAAGGATAAATCCAGCCCAGAAAATTCCAAGACTTGGTTTGCATGGATAAGGTGATCAAGTCAGCCTTAATAGGATGTATTCCATAAGGAGACAAAGCAAATACTGCATGTGGGTGGGGAGAAGAAAGTGTTGCAAGGTTTCAGCTGTATTGTTGAAATATATTAGTTGCTAAGAGAATAGATGCCTCAAACTGCCTACAAATGTTTTGGAAACTGGACAAACCTTGTTCTGTCTTCAGCAGATGTCAACATACATGTACTTGGCAGCAGACTGTAAGAGCCTGCATCCAGCACGGGCTCTGCAAACATACTAACAACCAGCTGCAGCAGGCAGCAGCTCTGACACACACTGAGTTAACAATACCAACCCCCTCAGCCTTGCTGCACTCCTCACAGTTTTAACTGGAGAATATCTGCATATAAAACCTTCCTTGCTCCACCTCTCAAGCAGTTATATCAGCCTCCCTGAGGCAGTAGATTTAGCATTTCCAGTCCAAAAATTTCCTAGTGCCATGTAAGAAGGAAGGATGTATATAGGGCACGAACAGGGAAATGAGAGATCCTCTCTTGACAGCTAACTCTTGTTGGCTGCAGGTTTCAGAACCTGAGAGCACATTTTTTGTGCAGATGGTTTTATATACTACTAAGGAGCAGTGTTTCCAGAAATCCATTACATAGTACAGCAAAACAGCTCAGGAAATGAACTTAAAATGCCCTTTTATCTGACAGTCTCACTTTCACATTTCAGTATAATCAATAAGCTAGAAGAACACGAGTGCTTCTTTCCGCCATTTCAAGCTCTCATTCAGGACTTGCTCTGCCTTCTAGGTGAGTAAATTTGCAGCAGTTGTAATTATCTTCATGTCAATGCTTCCTCCTAAAACTATAAAATACCTAAGAAGTGTTTTGTTTACTTCTCTTGTGCTAAAACACAAGGAAGCTGTGAGTCAAGGTGCTAACTTTTGCCTCTCTTTCCTCAGTGAAAGTGACCCAAATACTTTGTTGCATATATGAAATCATATTACTCTTAAGATAAACTGAGGGTTTTTTTCCAAAGGCATTAAAAGCTGTGAGGAGTTTATTTCATTCACTAGCTGTGTTTCTAACATTTCAGTTAGAAATTTGGGTGAACTTGATGATGTTCTAGGTACATACAGCTGACCTTTTTGCTTTTCATTCTGTTTCAGAGATCACTAACCCAGATGATATTTTACCTACGGTGCGAAATTTGAAATTGGTGGCAAGTTAAGAGTTACTCTGGGCTTCTCTAGCAAGATTTCTCTTACCTGTGAATGTGCCTGTTGAGGCATGTGACATTACAGCTACCTCTAACCTCTGTTAGCCTTAATCAACAGTTTCAGGTTTTTTGACAGAAATAAAAGCTGTTGAATTTTTTCATTTTCCTTAGTTCTTGTTTTATGGTCAATTTAAGAAAAACTGTAACCACTGTCAACTGGTCTACTCAGTCCCAGAGCAAGGACTAATACACTCAGTCTAGGAAACTGAACCCAGCATGAGGCCAGACATACTGTAACCATTAAACATCTTGAATGTTGTGGATACTCTTGAAGTATGAGAGAAAGGTGCTCTAACTACCTTTACCACAAAATGTTGTTTACATTTTCAGGTAAATTTGAGATCTGAGCAAACTGTTATCCAGTGAGGATTATTTCTGGTTACAAAGGCAGACTAGATAGATGTCATCTAGGCCAAACATACCTGAAACTTGTGTCGGGTGGCTGTTCATGGTCTCTGCTCAGCATGGATTTGAAGTTACCACAGCCATACTTTGACAGCCAGTTTAGAAAGGCACAGATCAAGTTTTTTTATGCAAGATAGAAGTTTATTGTACAGAAACAAGTAAACCAAGCTACCAAAAATATTTTGGTATATTTTGTTCCAATATTAATAAAGCTTAATTTACAAAACTCTGCTGTTCCTCGGGCAGAATGCTTAGCTATCAAGGTTTGTAAGATTTTGAAATGTACTGTAACAAAGAACAAAACGTGTTAAGGCATCACAAACTTAAACCTTAATGACATCTTGGTAAACTAATGTCCCTGCTTTTGGAAGTCATATACATACCTGCAACCACAATCTGTTAAAGGTCTTGCACAACAGAATATAATTTTCTCAAAAAAAAACCTGTTTCTTTCAACGGGTTCTGTAGCTTCATCTACAGATTAATGCTATTTAAAATCCATTCTTCTAAAACTACAATGCTCTCATGTTAAAACAACATGAATAGGATCCTGGGGAAATGAGACTGCCAAGCAAAGTACAGACAGACCTGACAGTCCAAAATATTTCCAGGTACAACTCTTCCTTAAGAGAGTATTCATACTTAAGGTTGTTTTTTTGGGGGAGAGGGTATGCCAGAAACAGCAAAAATAAAGGACTTATTATTTAGAGACAAATTATTCCCAATGTGGGGGTTTTTTTGTGGGTTTTTTTACTTCAATGAAAACTAATCTCTGAATAGCAGCATTAAATTTACATGTCCTGAGCTGCAGACTGCTTCAAATTTGCAGTGACTGTTCAAAAAATACTACTTACAAAAGTTATGTACATTCATATAAAGTTGAAAAATTAGTAACTTATGTACATGAGAAAAAATCAGTTTTTCTTGCGTCTACTCCTTGTCAGCTCATACCTGCAAGACAGACACAATAATTAATTATAGTAGTTTAAGACTTTAAAGTTTTAACTGGCACAACAGAGAGAACGTGGGCTGCTTTACTGCTTGTGCTTCATAGGTGACATGGAAAAGGAGGCTTTGGAGATGGCCTCCAACTTCAGCTCTTTACCAGGAGCTTTGATGTGTCATTATTCTCCTGCTCCCCTAATTGCCACATCCGTTCTGAGAGACAGACATCAGCTGGCCAAGGGAACCTGGTTTTCCTATCCCACTGGCCAGTACTGGCTCACTGCCTGTCAGGATGGCAAGCTCCTGGACTACCCACACTGCATTCCTTGGGCTCCACTGATGGAGAAAGAAGGAAGAACTACTGCCATTAACTACAGACATGGAAGGAGGAAAAAACAAACCCTGGTTCTTAATCTTTACCTCAGACCAGTGCTTAAGGTTTAAGTCTGAACCACAAGGAAGATACAAGCAAAACTGTAAGTGGCTCATTATACCAGTTTTTATAAATGGTTTGTAATTAAAGTTTTATCATATATTGCTGATCACAGTATTAATTTAGTTAAGATCTTTATCCAAGTTAAAATCTGTTGCAAGGTTACTTTAATAAACATAATTCTTTTACTTGTGTGTCCCAGTGGCTTTTATGGTAACTTAAAATATGCTGAAGACTTTAATTGACACACAGGCCTCTTATTAAAACTGTTTCACAGGGCAGGTATTGCACCAGCAACTGGATTAATGTGCAATTTAGATAAAACTACCAGATTAGCTCAAGTCAGTCCTGCGTTTGCAGGTCAGATACTCTTTTTGCTCACCAAAACACACAGCCCAATTACCAGTCATGCAAGCTCCCAGCAAAGCCAGTAGCAGGAGTTGAAAGTATGGAGATGAAAACTTACCACTGTGCAAAACCTTTTATTAAATCCTCCTGCGACAAGTCAATCCGCACCTTTAAAAAGCAAATTTTATTCCTTTGAGTATTAGTCAGCCTACAAATTGATTAGCTAAGCTAGCACCCCTCCCAGGTCAGACCCACTTTCAGGTTCTAGGGCTGGAGCTCAGGCTCGAGGGAAAAGGATCTTCCTGTATTCCCAGGACACAAGGCATTGGCCAACCACAGCACTGCAGCTCTGTTTCTTAGCAGCACTGCTTGGAAATTTACCTGTCACTGAAGAAGTGATTCCAGTTTACTTTTCACAGAACCAAGAGTTGTTCACAGCTGAAAACACTATTGCCAAAGTCTGGGGTTTAACCACAGGCCTTTCTCAGCTTTGTATTTGCACTACGGGAGCCATTCCCCGAACGGGCAGCAGCGGATCTCAGAAAACATGTTTTTATTTCAGGAGGAGCATCCTTCTGAAATAAGGCAGCATGGCACACAAGTTCCAGGAAACCAGAGCTTGAGTTCAGGTGAAAATCTGACAGAAAAAGTTGTTTCCAGACTGCTAGTTCTATTCCTGAGACTTAGTTTCTAGCACCACGTTTCAGGGTTACAGGAATGGCTCAGGCTGTTCAGCTCTATCAGATCCCTGGTGTAGTTTCTTTCAACTTACTTTCCCCAGCTCCTTCCTTTCCTGTGAAATGAATGGCCTGCTGTTTTTCACTGCAATGTCCAATGTCCTTTTCTTGACATCTTCCAAAGATTCAAAAAATTCAAATCTGAAAGTAAAGTTTTGAAAGGAGAGGCTTAAGTCAAAACTTAAAATCCTATAAGCATCAGTGGCCAGAACACAGTGACAGAACATGGCATCAGTGGCCAGAACTTCAATAGAGAAGGAAGACACTGAAAAGGCAATTCTGTAGTTAGATTTCATTCACATTGTAAGAACTCTCTTCCAGGCCTCATGAAAGACTACAACACTGTGCAGACTGTGCCAGGGGAAAGGAGGAAAACACACATCCATGGTGAAATCCTATTTGCCATCATTTTCCTCCTTCATGGAGGATCAGCATCTTTTCCATGCAACCTTTATTACTCAGAGGAAATAGCTGAGCCAACCCCCCAAGTTTACAAAGTAGGCTCACACCACATGAAGAGAAGACAAAGGTTGAAACCTGTGGCAATTAAATTCTTAATGGCTCTGACTCATGCCCCTGGCACACACCATCTAATGTCAAGTGAGTTTTGTCCAGGCTACATCACTTAGGTTCTGCCCACCTGAATAGCTCTTCCTCAAGTCAGAGCTGTAAAACAGGTTATGTGTTTGGGAGCTAAGTGTTGCTCAACTGTTTCTGTACTTAATTGAGGATGTACAGGACACACCAATACTGAGGATGAGGAAAAAGAGATGAGATGTTCCTGACAGCTGTGCTGTCACTGTATCAGAGGAGATACACCAGAAGAGGCAGAAGCAAAATCTGCAGCTCTACTGTTTTTTGTGTCAAGAATAAATATTTTAAAATCTTTTCTCCATTTCTGACCTGTACTGACATACAAAGAAAGGCCCCAACACAGAAAACAACCTGACCCAGTATTCCCCAATTTTCTTGTGTGTACCCTCCTCTGAAGATGGGATTAAAACCACATCTAAGCATTACTGTGGTTTTATACAAAACAGGTTCCATTTTTGCAGCAAAGCTGCTGTCACAGCACTGTCGGGAAAGAGGTGGGAGCATTTCACCCTGCTCCCACCTGGTCTCAAGGACAATATCCATCCCTCTGTCTGAAGAATGGTCCAGTCTCAAAAGGCTTTGTATTTCTGTCTTTGACTTTTGGAAAGATGTCAGAATAAGCATCAGGCTTAAAAGTATGAAAAGAGAAGTAGGTTTTGTGAGGTACCCAAATGGAAAGATCACCTCTGCAACAACAGGAGATAAGCATGGGTAGGGGAATGTCTGTGCAGCCTGTACCAGCTAGGACCAGGAAAGGGGGTGGGAATAAGGTGTGCCCTCCTACAGGGAGCAAACAACACCCTAAGCAGACCACGGCCAACCCTAAGTACTTGGAAATCACAGTCAAAGCACCATTTTTGTCAGAAGACCTGCAAACCTTCATGAGACAACCCTTAGGAGCAACAAGAAGCACACCTTATGTAAGTCCCTTCATTATGCCAAGATTATAAACATTTCAGGAGCAATGATCATTAACATTTTCTTACTTTTCATCATACTGGGGGTTCAGAGTTTTCTTCTTAACTGAAGTCTTCTTCCTGCTCGTCCATCTTCTATCTGGAAGCAGGTATATACGAACATATGGATCTACTCCACGATTGGAAGAAGGCACTAAGTTCCTGTTGAAAGAAATAAAGTGTTGACAAGCAAGGCAGCTTCTCCCACTCCACTATCTAAATCAGACCCACCCTTCATGGGCTCATGGGCCAAAAGCTTTTATCTTGAGTTGGAACATAAGTAAATAAAACTTAACAGATATGAAGCTAAACAGGATTTTCACTATTGAGTGTGTGGCCACTTATCGGAGTTCCTAAATTAACAGCTACAAATTCAGTCACAGGTGTCAAATCTTGTCATGATGCCTGTTAGGAAATCCCAAGACATGCATCAGTTGTCAATGCTGTTCAGAGGAAGTTCTGGGTGGATGAAGTTCAAGTACCTCTGCTGCAGTGAGCACCACTCACTGCCCACCCTTGCAGTCCTGCTACTGGCACTGACCAGAGCTGGAAGTTTCCACCTGCCTGGGCTTAGTGAGGTTACACAGACTCAAGTCAGCCAACACTAAGGAATCTTTTACAGGGTTCTGCTCTAGCTCCGTGGTATGTCTGAGAGAGCTCTCACCCTTCCCATTACAGACAGCCACAAGCAATGGCCAGTGCTACCTGCAGCTGTTCACCAGCACCACCAGGCTCTGCCGCACCGAGGCGTAACGCACCGTCAGCTGGATCTCCCCCAGAGGCATCTCGGTCCCGCTGCAAGACAGGTGCACAGCCACAGCCCTTCAATACAGGTAGTTAACAGACCACATGGACAGACCCAGCAGCACAAAACAGGGCACGAGCTTCAGAAACTGGTGATGTGTTTTCAACTAAACCCAACCTTCAGGGCGTTATTCTTCCTGGCATCCTGAGGTTTGCTGTCTATACAACAGCTGGACCACAGAGGCTCCTCAGAAACAACACCCCTGTCAGTGCCAGAAGTGCCCAGCTGACCTTCTGCACAGGTGCCCCATTTCAGTCCCACTGCATGAACAGCCAAAAAAGCACCTGCTTGGCCTGCTGCAGATAGAGCAGCAAAGTACAGGTAGGCATGTTACACAGCTGCTTCAAGGATGTCTTTACATGCAAAATGGGACCCTTTTTTTAACTCATTCTGCATGTTATTAAAGAGGTTTCAAATTCAAAACATTGCTTAAAAATGGCTTCTAAATTAGGTCCATTTAGAGCTAGAGAATTTGCCACTTCAGTAATAGACTGAACAGCTAGAGCTGGGTTTGGTATTCACGTTGATAACTGCTCTGATGCTCTCTTTAATTGAGATGGACCTTCTTTGCCACCTCAGTTCATTAAGGATTCTCCTAGCTCTGTTCTTTCTCCCAGAAGAGACAGATCCAGCTCCCCGTCCTCAACGGAGCAGACTCCTGCAGCACCGTGGGAAGGACACACACACAAGCACATCTGTCCGCAAAAACTGTTCACAATATTATGAGAGTCTCAAAACTTCTTCGATAAAAGGCAGCATGTGAAACTTTAGGCAGCCAGATATGCTTATCAAGAGTGTATGTTTTCACAGAAATGGGATATTCAGACTTCCACTCCCTCATTGCTAAAATAACTGTTACGGGATGCAGGATAGTATTTGTGAGAGGTTCTTACACACCATGAAGCCAATACATGCAGCACTTCCTAGGAGAGCCAGAGAAGGAAATGCTTTTGCTTTACACCTGTACTTCAATTTGCTATTGACTGGAATACTTGGGCTTAATTCTTTGTAAGCTGATTTGAGACCCACAGCTCCAAATGACTTAGTAGTCTTGAACTCAACTGTGTGTAACAGTGACCTACAAAACCCCAAAACCATCCCAAGAGAAGAACAATTCAGCTGGAAGAACACCTACTTAGGAAGGTCCAGATTGCTGCTACTTAATTCAAAGCAAGAAGAAGGCAGAGAACCCAGTGAGGCAACACTGGGTGCAAGCCTCAGCTCCTGCAGGAGCGGCAGCGCGGGCACTGCCCCGGCTCTGGCAGGCAGGGCTGATGGTAGGCAGAGCTCTGGGTTCTGCTCACGCTCCGTCTCATCGAGGGCAGCAACAATTTCACTGGCTACAGGTGCTGCTGAACTATCACTTGTGTCCAGGTCTTCTCTGCTGTCCTTTTTTGGCAAGGATTCAAGTCCTGCAGTGTCTTTGTTCACGGAAGGGGCTTTGGAGACTTCTGAGTTTGGTGGGGAGACGAACTTCTGCTGGTTTCCCCCGTTCTCCGTGACACGCACAGGACCTTGCTTTGAGGCACTGACACCAGCCTTGACTCTCTGTGGATCAGGTTCTTCAACATTCAAGGCCTAAAAATCACATGGGAGAGAAATGAGTGCTGCTCCCAAAGCACTGGGGTTAATGCTACTATTGTCACCTAGGATGAAACTTCGCCACAAAAC